AAGCTCCACACATTCCTTCAGCTGCACAGTCAACAAGCATTTATTAAGCATCTTCTATGTGCCAGAGACCATACTAAGCAAAAGGCAAAAAACAGTCCCTGTTCTCTATGAGCTCACAGTCTAATGGGGGAGACAACATGAGAATTACTTTGTAAAAAACATTTATAAATAATTAGAATACATAAAAACAGAAATATACAGGATAAATTGTGGATAATCAACAGAGGAAGCATTAGCATTAAGAGGAATGGGAAAAGTCTTCTCATACAAAGTGAGATTTTAGTTGGGGTTTAGTTTCACATAGGGGGAAGAAAGAAAGCCGTAAGGAAGGATATCTCCTATTTGCCTAAGGATATCCCCCTCTATCAAAACTAGAAAATATTTATACTTACTAACTAATGGCACTTTAATGTAGCAGTTCTCAAACTTTTTGATTTCAGAACTCCTTTTCACTCTTAAAAATGATTAAGGACCTCCAAAAGACCTTTAGTTTATGTGTGCTATGTCTATAAATATTTACTATATTATCCATTAGAACACACTAATATTATAGTGAAAATAGCTTTGATCTAACGGATCCCCTAAAAGGATTTTGGGGACATTCAAGGGCCCTTGGACCACATCTAGAGAATCATTATGCAATTTTTTCAGTCCATACGCTCCTTAACCAGGCATTTGTGCACTAAGTCTTTTAATTTTAGTGATGGAATGAAAGGCTTTGGCCCCCATTACAGGAATTTCAGGCATGAGCTAACAGGTGCATATATACGGAATCAAAGAGTCAAGAGTTGGAAGGAACCTTGCAAGTCAAAAGATCATAAATTTATAACTGGAAAAGCCTTTGGAGGGCACCTAGTCCAATCCCCTCATTTTACAGATGAGAAAACTGAGGCCCAGAGATGGTAAGTGACTTGCCCAAGATCACGCAGGTAGCAGTAAGTGGCAGACGGGAATCAAGCCCAAACCCAGACTCCAAATCCAATACTCTTTGCACTGTATCAGGCAAGCTCACAGGTAACTATAAGAAGCAAAGATATCAACACATCATCTAATCACCTGTATTCCTTCCATAACAACATATTAATTTTATCTGGTCAAACCTCTTCATATTATAGATGAGGAAACAGGATATAAATATATATCTCTCTATTGAAGTCTTACTTTGATATGCCAGCGGAATATAATCTCTGACAGGTTCTACCAAGTTGAGAAGATTTAAGAACATGGGCCTGTTTCTGTTTCTCCAGATTCCCAGGTTGGTGGCAGTGTGATTAATTTTTGACCCAACTCTCAAATAACTCTCTAAGTCACAGAAGGGTTGAAATCTGGATCACAGAAATTACAGATCATATGCAAAGTGCTTTGCAAACCTTAAAGTGCCACATAAATGTTAGTTATTATCATTATTATTATTAAAGTATATGAACGTGAACAAACACATATACATATGCATACCAATCTACACTCTCTCACAAAACTCACCCAATTATCAATGGCTGACTTTATTTAATAAGAGAGGGTAAAGGGGGAAAAAAAGACAAAAGAAAACAAAAGGGCACATGTGAAACAAAAGTTGGAATCACATCTGAAAAACAAAGACCCATCTCTTCTGTTCCAAATTTAAGTTCTCCTACCAAAGATTCTCAATATTAAAAAAAAAAAGGTCAACAGACTCAACATGGAAGAAACCAAGTCATCAAGGAGTAATCCTGTGAGAAGTTAACCAAAATAAGCTGTTGGGCTTTGGACATGTTGAGCCGGAAATGCTGCCACAACATGCAAATGGAGTTGTCTTAAAGATAAGTAGAGATGTAGCTCTCCAATGGAATCCAGAAAACAGGTGAAAACTGAGATTTAAAACTGTGTGTCATCTGCACAGAGGTGATAATTGAAGGCATGGAAATAGCTAGATAGTGCAGTTCATACGAAAAAGATGTGGAGATCTTAATGGATCTCCAGTTCAACGGTGGGAAGACGACATGGCACAACGAAAAGAACACTGGATTTGCAGTCAGGCTTGCAGTCATTTACTACCTGTGTGGCCTTAGGTGAGTCACTTAATCCATCTGGGCTTCAGTTTCATCAGCTGTAAAATGAAGCTTGAACTAAATGACCAAAGTGCCTTCCAGTCCTAAATCTAAGATTATACAGGCTAGCCAAAAAACCAAAAAAAAAAAAAAACCCAAAACTAATGTGACCTTAGGCCTCATTAGGAGGAGAAGCATAATGAGAACTAAAGAGGCTGTACTCTCTCCCAGTCAGAGCACATCTAAAGTACTCTGTTCAACTCTGGGCACAACATTTAAGGACAGCAGAACTAGGAACAATGGATGAGAAGTTGCAAGGAGGCTGATTTAGGCTTCATGTATGGAAAAACTTTCATTCGATTAGTGCTCTCCAAAGTGAACTGGTCTGACTTGGGAGGTAAGACTGCCCTCTCTGGAGGTCTTCAAGCAAAGGCTCAATAATCACAAGCTTCTAGCATTTCCACAAAAGTTACCTTGGATTTATTTCACATACGTGTTGCTCCACTAATAGAATGTGAGCTTCCCAGCAAGCGCTTGTTTCTTTGTTTCTGTATCCCCAACAACTATCAGTGGCTTGTACCTAGTAGGTGCTAAATGCATGCTTGTTAATTGTCAGCTACCATACAGAAGGGATTCCTGTTCAGGCTCCGGTCTGTGATTATCAGACCGTGAGCTCCTTCAGCTCAGGGGCTGTCTTTTACCTTTCTTTCAACCCCCAGCTTTTAAAAAAGTGCATGACACATAACAGGCACTTAAGAGATGTTGTCTGACTACCGAACAACTGAAAATGCCAGAGCCTTTGCTGGAGGATTTGCTTTAGTAGCTGCTTAATAGCATAGTGTCCCATGTTAAAATAGGATTTACAAATTTCTTCAATCTAGTCTCTTGACAAGTGTGCCACCTCTCCTGCTTCAAGGTCCTACCTTATTATTTTCTCCGTAAAACAATGGTAGTCTCATTCATCTCTGTTCCCTGCTCACTCGGCTTAAATTTACAATTCTCTAACAGTCTAACTATTCTTCAGCTCTCTTGTCTGTGACTGTTCATCTTTCTAACTGACCCTGCTCCGCGACTCATCTTTCCTTCAGCTGTTTCTTTCTTCCTGCCCGCGGCCCCCAACAGCTTTTTCTCTCTTTCAAATTCCCCAGTCTGCCAGTATCCCTACTTGTTATTTTCCCAACCTAAAGATGATCTTCCTTTCTACAATCCCCAAAACGCATTAATGAATCTGACCTCCCACATCCTTTTCCAGATCTGGCTCCGGTGCACATAAGTTACTCAGTCTGTCCTCACAGTAGAAGGTAGTTTCTATTACTAAATGTTTTCCTCTTCAGACCATCTTAGATCCTTGCCAATACCCCCATGGTCAATTCCTCCACTTTCTCCCTGACAACTTCTCAGTGGCTGCCGCTCCCTCTCAGAGGAGCTTCCTTTACTCACTAGCCCTAGCTGCTCCCTTTGACCCTACTCCGATCAACTTTCCTGGATCCACAGGGAAACTCCCAAGCCTCTCTTCCCAGCTAACCCATCTCCTTAGTTTTCCCTTTAGCACACCTAAGACACACCCCTTTGGTTTCCCCGGATTCACCATTCTCTAAGCCACAGAGCGGCTTCTCCGCCCCCGCCCCTCACCCCCAGCTAGTCAGAGTCGGTTTCCCAGAGACCCAGGCCACTCCCCGTCTCCCCAGACCCTAAGTCCTTCCAGTTCTCCATTATTCTCCTCCTTCTCCCCCCCCCCACACACTCTGGCTGTTCCCGTTTCCACCTGTGTCTTCTCCCCAAACCCGAGACCTGGCCCGCGACCAACTCCAAGTCTGCTCCGCTCCTCCCGCCCAGTACTTCCCCCTCCTCCAGACCGGGCTGCGGCCCAAGGGACCCTCTCCTTCAGGCTCAGACTGATCCTCATGCTTCCGCCCCAACACCAAACGGCTCCCCTTTTCTTCAGGGTTTCCCCTATTTCCAATGGTTTCCCCCTCTCCCCCAGGTTTTCCCTGCCCCCAAAACGAACTGCTTCCCATCTCCCCCAGATCTGAACTGCTCCCCTTTCTTTCCAACTTTCCCTTGCCCTGGAGCCAAGCTGCTCCCCTAGATTTGAACAGCTCCTTCTCTGAAGCACTCTCCCTTCTTCCCCAGGTTTCCCCGTCCCCAGAATTTCCCCTCGCCCCTCCCCCAAACTGAGCTGCCCCCCTTTTCCCACCCCTCCTCCAAGCTGAAGTGCTCTCCCTCACCCTTTTATCCCCCTCCCCATATCTGAACTGCTCCCCATCTCCCCATGCTACCTCTCCCTCAAATCCGAACTGCTCCCCCTCTTCCCACCCCCTCCTCCAAACCTGGACTGCTCCCCAAGCCATCTCTCCCTCAGGCTTGAACTGTTCCCCTTCTTCCTTCTCTCCCCCAAACCTGAATTGCTTTCCCTTCCCACGATCCCTCCTCTCCCAAAGCCAAACTCCTCCCCTATACCTGAACCGCTCCCCCTCCCCCTGACCTGTGAACTGCTCCCCGTTTCCGCCCCAGTTTCCCCCCCACCTCAACTGCCCTCCCCCCACACACACCGAGCAGCCCCCCTAGTTCCCCGCCTCCTCCTCCCCCAGACCTGGCTGCGCCCCCATCTCCTCAGGGCCCCCCCCAGCCTGGCCGTCCCGCTCCCCCCGAAGCCGGTGCTCTCGGGTGCCCCGTCCGTCCTCGGCGTCCCCGGGGATTCCCACCCCCCACTCCCAGGGCATGGCCCGCGCCGCCTCTGCCCCCGCTCCCCTCCGCACTCGCCAGCACCGGCAGCGCCGGCCGCGGGGCCGTGGTCCCCGCTCCAGCCGAGCCGGAGGAGAGGGCGCGCCCCCGGCCGCCCCCAGCCTCCCCCGCCCGCCGCGGCAGCCGCAGCGCGAGCGCCGAGGAGCGCCGAGCTCGAGCCCCCGCCCCGCTCGGCCCGGGCACCCCGCCGCGGGCTCCGGGCCGCCCGGCCCGGACGCTCTCACTCACCTGCCGCCGCCCGAGTCCAACTCCAGCGCCGCCGCCGCCGCCTGCCTCTTCCTCCGCCGCCAGTCGCCACCAAGCGCCACCGCCTCCCCCATGACAACAGGCCCACCCGTTTCCATACTCTGGGGTCGCTCATTGGTTAGCGTAAAGGTAGCTCTCGGCTTCGATTGGTAGCGAGGGCCCGCCCATCACGGCAAACGCCCCGCCCCTTTTCAGAGACCCGGTATTCGCCCCAGCCTGGACCTGCAGCGCCCTCCCCCGAGTTTCAGCTGTAATTGGCTGAGGGAATGGAGCCGTCGAAAATGATAATAGGCTGCAGAAACTGCCTGTTTAGTCATCTGGCAGGGGACGAGCCCGCCAAGGGTGGTTAGAGCGTGTGCAGTTTGGTTGCACAACAGAGAGGCGATGAGGAGACTGGGTTCTGAGTTTCTGGATTCTGAGGACCAGGAAGAGGTTAACTCGACTGCCCTTGAATTTCATCCCTTTCTCCAATTTCTAACCGAAACTCATTCATCCCAGCTCCCACGTAGGCATGGTACTTGCAGAACGCCAAAGGTTTATGCTCTAAAATGCCTTGCGCACAAATGTAGCGTGCGTCTGTCAGTCAGGCAGTCAACAAGCATTTACTAATCGCCTACTATGTGGCAGGCACTGTGCTAAGCGCTGAGAATATAAAGAAATACAAAAAACCTCTTTGCTGTCAAGGAGCTCACAGACCCCAAAAGGGAGGGTTGGGGGGGGGGTGCGGACACAAAAACGACTGTGCAAATCAAATTACCGGGTGTCCCAAAAGTCTTGGTGCAGTTTTAAACTTTAATCACTGTGCAGTATCCTGGACCTGCAGGGTAAATTGGAGGTAATCTCAGAAGAAAGGCTTCTGGGAAAGGTTTCTTACAGAAGGTGGGATTTTAGCTGAAACGTGAAGGAAGCCCCAAAGGGAAGAAGCTAACTAGAGAGAGAGAGAGAGAGAGAGAGAGAGAGAGAGAGAGAGAGAGAGAGAGAGATCCAGGCCTGGGGGACAATCAGTGAAAATGCTAGCAGTCGGGAGATGGAGTGTCATGTGCAACTCTGAGTCCGTGGGGGGAGGGAAGGAGTAAGATGTAATGAGACTGGAAAGGTAGGAAGGAGCCAGGTTATCTTTTGAGGTCTCCAAAGCACTGAAATTAACCTGGGCCGCTTTCCAGAGATCTTCTCACTGAATGTTCAATACGCATAAAGTGATCGAACAAAAATCAACACGCCTTGCTTGCTAGTCTAAACACTCCCGTACTACAGAAATGGCCTGTTAGCATTTCCCCAATACATCAAAACCTAGAGCTGGCTGTCTTCTCTAAGGTGAGTAGGCAGTCATTAACTAGTTTAGATTAAATGGGCCAGGCTTTTCCCTTGTCAAATCCTGATAATTAGACTATTCCCTACAAACTTGCTTCTTCCTGTTCAGCAGTTCTCAAATAGCCCTATTAGATGTGTGTTAAAGATTTAAATAGCTAGACTTTTTTCTTCCCCTAAACTTCTCTTCCTAAGCTGTCTATATTAGTGCCATTGAATGAATTGCAGGGGTTTATTTGTGTTTTTTTTCTGAATCACTACCATACAAAAGAAAGAATGATTGCATTTTTAAAAATTCACTTAGTGTATAAATCACAGTAGGTTTTTGTTTTAGTTTTTTCAAAGCTTGCTGCTGCTACAGAAAGCTCTGTATTCCTTGAATTATATTCATTATCATTAGCTTTTCCAGGTTGTTTCTGTTATAATGTTCAGTTTTAGGGTTTTTATTTGATTTGGGTTTTTCCCCCAAGTGAGAAGTGATTAGAATACCCTGTTTGACCTAAGTCAAAATTAGGTTCAGTGTCTTTGCATGAGTTAGGTATATGGATGCAGAATATTGCTGTATACTTCCAGTCCAGATTGTTGTCTGTTGGTTTGAAGAATTGCGTTTTTCTCTTTCTTTTTTTATTCTTTGTAATAAAGAATACCTCTCTGGGTGAGGGAGGGACATATTGGGAAATGAATGTGATGTAAAAAAGAAAAATAATAACTTTTAAACGCTTTTTTAAAAATTGGGTTCAAATCCCACCTTCCAAACCTTGGACGAGTCGCTTAACCTATGTGCCTAGGATTTAGCTCGTAAATTATAAATATAAATTACAAAATTATAAATTAGCTGTGAACTGCCTCCCCATCTTTGCCTGTTGAACTCCTACTCATTCTTTAAAGACCAATTCCCAGATGTTCCGGTTAGTAATAATCTTACCCCTCAGATGTATTTAATCGTATACCATTATGTATCATAGATGTGTTGGTATTTTATCCCCTTTCTGCAGGATAAGCTTCTTGAGGAAAGAGCTTAACTTTCTATCTCTCTCTTCCCCCTCCCTCCCTGCCTAGCACATGGATTTTCTGCACAAAGTAGTTACATAATAATTGTTGATTGCTTTAAGTCATAGATGTTTTTTAATTGTTAAATTGAGGGGGTTGGGAATGGAAGGAGCCAATATTCTGGACACTCATACAGTCATGATCATAAAGATGAGGAATTATTTCCCTGTTAAGTCCCTTCTCTACTGAGAGTGTGAGGGGGTGGGGAGGCCTCTCTGAAGAGCCAAGTATCTTCTCCATTCAATAGGGATCCTATTTCTTACATTTAGAGGATATCCTTTTCCTCCTCTCAGCCCCTCATCCATCTTCATTCTTCTCAAGCTCCCTTGTGTAAATGCAGAGCAAAGAAATCCAAACACTAGCGCATAAAGACCAATAAGGATTATCTGGTGTATTGTCCAGACACCCTTATCAATCTGAGTACTGTGCAGTTTTTTCTAGTCTAGTTTTAAATATTTAAATAGTGCAGGAGATTATTCTACATTAATTATACCTCATAGTTAAAGGATGTTTTTCCTGATTGCTTTCCTGAAATTTCTCCTCCTCTTTTCTCATCCCACCTTTCAAGACAACACAACCCGGAAATAACCTCCAGCTCATTTGAGTGACTCATAAGAAGACTGTAAATGGAAAGTGTATGAAGCCAAAATAATCTCGAAGTCTGAATCAGCTAGCTGAAGGGAAGAGCAGATAATGACCACAATAATATGGAAGCCAAGCGATAAGACAAATCATACCTTAAAATTCTTGCAGATAGTGAGCCGTGTTCTGAAATGGTGCTACAGAAGGAATTCTGGATTTAAAGTCAGAGGAACTGGGTGCAAATCCTAACTCTGCTTCCTATGTGACCTCAGGCAAGTAAATCATTTCACCCCTTTAGGCCTCAGTTTCCTCATCTGTAAAATGAGGGAGTTGAACTTGATTATTTCTAAGGTTACAATATAGATCCATGACAAAATGGCATTCTTTCAACATATCGCCAGCACCTTTTTTCTCTCTGGTTCTGCCAATGTACAGTACCTACCAATTTTGGAGCAAGTTAAAAGGCAATTAATGTCCCAAGAGATAGCAAACAACAATATCATGAGAAGACATTGCTATCATTATGATAGTTTTAATAATAATGATTTTCAAGCAGCAAAAGTGACTAGGCACCATTTAGAACATAAGATTAGATGCCATCCTTGCTGAGAAGGCTCATTGTCTCTAAGGAGAGACAGACAATTTGCATAAAAATGAGCTGGATCACTACTCTAAAGGTCAAAAATTCACTCAGTTTCATAATTTTTTTAAATGTGTCATTTAGTATTTTTGTTCATATGCTAGCGTACCGGCTTACCTAAAATAGTCAGAAAAGAAACTGAGAATGAACATGTGAGGATGTTGACTGGAAAATAGTAAAAAGAAAGAAAATGTGAGACTATAAGAAAGAAAATTACAAAATAGAGGACCATTGTGTAATTAGTAGTATTGGAGGGACTAGGAAAAAGGCAACTTGCTTATGCCCTGTCTTCATTTTGCATGTACAAGGTAATCCAATAGCATAATTACTCTGTCCAGTATGTCTTTTCTTTCATTTACTATATGCCTTTCCACCACAATCTCTGTCCTCCTCTTGAAAAGCAAGAATCCTGGAGTCTTGGAGTCTGCTTCTTTGCAATCAGTCTCTGACTATTGAGGCATTGTAGATAATATCTGTCCAATGGCCAATTGTATAAGGTTAGGATGGCCTATGTGATGAAGGCAAAAATAGTCTTCATAAATCCCAAAGAAGTGAAAAATGAAGAACCCACAGCAATGGACATTGGTCCATCTGGGGAGAAATCAACGGGCTTTAAACTTTATTTTACTCCTTTTTCTGCTTATTTTTTTCTTAATCTTTCTGGGTCATTTTTCAAGCAAACAGAATCAAATTAACCCCCTCCATTTGCTTCTGCTTGAGTCCAGAAGAGTATTCTCATTTAGGAAAAGATCAATATGTTCTTCCTGGACTCAGCATGTAATTCCAAAAGGATTAGAGAGCCACAAAATGAAGGAAGGAAAAGACAATTCCCCAGAGAGCAGACAGAATCCAGAGCAGCCTGAAGCTGGAAACTGGCCAAGACTTTCAATAAGAATAGATGTCTGATTTAAGTATCAGCTAGTGAGGTAGTGAGAGAGAAAGAGAGGGGATGGCAGGGAGGCGGGAAGAGAGGAAAAAAAGAAGGGGCAGAGGAGAGATAGGGAGGAGAGAAAGAGAGGGTTGAGATACACAGAGGGGTAGTGAGAGACAGAGAAACAGAGATTCAAAGAGAGATAAAGAGAGAAGGAAAAAAAAGAGAGTGAAGCAGAGCAACTTTGAAGTCCTGCTCTCTCTGGGTGTGGACTTTACCACCATCTCAGTAATCCATGATTTCACAATCAAGTTCCACCAGCTAAATACAGTCCAAGCCATGGCTGCAGAGGGAAGATTGTCAGGAATCCAGCATATGGAACAATCGCTACTCTGAACCCTGGAAATCCTCCCCTGTGCTCAAAGGATGTTGGTTTGGCAGTAAGGCAAAATCAACTGGGTAGGCTACGCACACAGCCAGCCAAGAAATTGTAGAGAAGAACTCATCATTTCGTCTGATTTCATGAAGGTCAATGGATGTGAGCTTTGCCCAGGACAAAAAGGAAACTACATAAGAGAAA